GTGCTCCCTAGCATGGGGGAGCTGCAGGACAGGCCGAGCCATGGCCTGAATCACCGGGCTCCTGGCCCCCTGCATGTGCCTCGCCCCCAGCGCCCCCAGATGGTGAAGTGGACGGTCCCAAAGCATCCTCATGCATCCAGGACCACACCACCCGGGGCAGCACCCAGTGTTCAGCATCCCTGGCTCCTGCCTGGCCTGGCCCAGTAGGTGGAGTCTCCCAGCCCTTGCTGGTCTCTGGGTCCCAGGACCAAGGGCATCTGCAATCCGGGGAGGTCCCACCGCCTGCCAGGGGCAGCACCTTACCCTCGGGGGCCAGCCCTGGCGGAGGCCTCACAGGCCACAAGGGAAAGGGGAGATAGCCCCTGGGCTGGGCCCAGCCTTGGGTGCCAGCACCTCTCCTCTCCCACCCTCCTGCCTGCTGCCGAGGTGGCCAGTGGGGTGGGGATCACCGAGCACAATGCTTTTGGGTGAGGAGCCCAAGGAGCACAGCTCAGGGGCAGCACAGGTGGGGCAGGACAGGGCAGCCTGAGGGGCCTCCCCGGCAGGTGGGCAGGACCAATGACATAGAGTCGGCGGGGGGAGTTCCCTGCCTGTCCTGGGGCCTGAGCCTCAGATCAGGACAGGTAGCCTCCTGGAAGGACAGGTGCGAGGGGCCAGAGGCCAGATCAGAGGGAGCTCCCCTTGCTGTCCCGCCCCAGGTCACCCTCCTCCTCCTCCCGGGGTGAGGTGGGCCCACTTGGAGTCTCTGACCTTTGGTGGGCACCTGCCCCAGCTTCCTCCGCCTGGCTCATTCAATGTTGGGTACGGGAGACCCACCCCCTAAGGAGGCCCCTATTCATTGATCCGGGAGTGGACCTCCCATCCCACCCCCCCTACCTGGCCAATATGTGGGGCCCGGCCTCCAGGGAAGAGTTTTCCTGCCGGGACCGTGCCCAGAGGAGGGCGGTGACTGGTGCTGGAGGGGCAGGCCCTGCCCCCACCCTGCTCGGCAGGCCTGACTGCCAGGAACTCCGGGGGTCAGTTGTGTAATCAAAGCTCGGGGTTTTGCCAAGGCTGCCTGGAAAGCCGCTGGCCTGGAAGTCATGTGCTGGAGGCTCAGGCACCCCCCCCCCCAATCAGAGGCCTCTGGAGAGGGAAAGGGCCCACTGAGAAACCCCAGGGCTAGCAATTCCACTTGGGTCCTGCACCCCTCGGCCACAGCCAGGGGGCAGATGATTGGGGGCCCAGCGAGCTCCTGGCCATCCCTCAGCTCCATGGACAAGTGCCAGGCCTGGCTCACACCCTCCTTACAGCTTGCTCGCAACTTCCGGCCCAGGCGTGCCCATCGCTACCCATACAGTGCCCCTCCAGAGGCCTTCTCCAGAGGGCCCCAGGGTGCCTCCAGTGGGCGGGGGTGCAGCCCTGTCCTGCTCCTTTTGGGGCCCCGTGCGGTGTGGAGGTCCCCAAGCCCCTCATCCAGGCCTCCACTGCCCGCCTCGGGAGCTGCCTCCATGGCCCGCATCACACCTCCTTCTCGCACGGACTTCACAAGCCCAGGGACTCCCTGGCCAGCTGGGTTCTGTATGCCCGGGAGGGGCAGGTGGGGCTCCTGGGGTCCTGCCAGGGACCACTTCCCTTTTCCGTGAAGCTTTGGCACTGAATCCATGCCAAGGTTTCGTTTCAGGGGACTGCACTGGAGAAAAGAAACTTGAGACTCCAACAGCCGCAGAGTTGTTCTGGATCTGAGTCCGGCCTCACTCTTCCCAGAAGCCAGGGATCTCAGGCCAGCGGGCGAGGGGCCTGGACGCCGCACCCCCACCTCGTGGGCACAGCCAGTACCCACCCGCGCCCCGAGGGCCTGGCCAGGAGCAAACCAATCGAAGCTCGGACTGCAGACGGGGCGCAGCGTAGTCCTCCAGGAGGGAAGGAGCCAGAGGGGCCAAGACAGGACCTGGATTCGGTTCAGGACTTTGGTTCTTTCCACGATGATTTCTGGATTCCATGCAACCCCAAGGGGCATCCCTGAAGGATGGATGCTGTGCAGAGCTCGACCAAGTGGCTCTAAAGGAGCCTTGATAGTAAATGGACCCAAGATATTGAAAGATTAGTGGGTTAGGCACCGGCCAGCAGAGGAGAGTGGGAGCCACGGGGCCGGGCAGACTGGCAGCCCAGTCTGAGTGGACAGGCCAGCATTTCAGGGGCCACTGTCCCCTCTGCTCCAGCCCCAAGCCGTCCACATGGCCACCATCCCAGCCTCAGGGGGGTGGAGCCCTGCCCATGGCAACAGACCCCCAAGAGGCCCCGGGTCAGAGGACACCCTTCTCCTGGCTCCCCAACCCCAGGCTCCTCAGCAGCGCTGGTCTGATGAGCGGATGAGACCCTTCCCCAGCAGAGGGGGTCCGGCGGATACCAGGGACTGCAAAGTGCTGTCCACTCAGGGATGAGGGGCCCATGGCAGCTCCCTAGCCCCTCAGCCTCTGTAGACCCCCAGCACCTAGGAGTGGGACCGTGGCAGATGGGGGATGGGGAGTCAGAGACCGGCCCACCCCAGGCTCCACAGGTCCCAGGCCCAAGTGAACACCCTGCCCTGGGGCTTGCATAGGCTCACTGGCCCCTGGCCCCTGATGGGGCGTGCTGTAGCCCTGGAGGCTGCCCTCCAGGGTGGGAGGGGCTCAGGATTAGGGGAGACTTGAGCACCCCCAACCAAATCCCACCCAGGAGCCAGGAGAAGGCCCTGTGTGGACTGTGGGGGCTGGGGCGAGGGCAGGCCCCAGGGTGCAGGTCGGCCCTTCGGATCCTGACGGAGCTCCAGCTTTGTGTCTCGGAGCCGGGGGTGGGAGCGCCCAGACGCAGAGTGGACAGCCTGGGGGTCAGGTGGCAGGGGTGGGACAGGGCAGGGCCTCCCAGCTGCAGCTCTGGGCTTCTGTCTGTGTCTCAGACCTGGGGCTCTGCCCATGGTGGATTCTCTGAATCTACTCTAGGGGTACCCCTGCAGCCAGGAAAGCTCCCCCACAGGTGCTGCATCCTCTGCCTCTTCTGTGGCCTGTGCCCCGCACCCACCACTGGGGCCCCAGATGCAGCCCCCAGTGCAGGCCCCCACGCCAACGGGAGTCTCCAGCCTGGCTCTCAGCCACTTGCTGACATGTGAGGGTACCACAGTGGGGGCCAGAGTCATACTCCAGCACCTACACGAGGTCCCGGACACTCAGGCCTCAGTTTCCCCAAGCACGACCTGGCTGAGAGCCCTTGCTTGGGATGCCCCAGGACTGGGCAGGCCGCAGTGTCCCATGGCCCTGGGTGCTCGGGGGCACCCAGGCTGATGCAGTCAGCATGGAGACAGAGGGGCGCAGGGCTAGGCCGAGGGAGTGGGGGGTGGCCAAGCTGTCACCCTCTCTGCCATCCCCCCTGTCTTCTCCCTCTTGTCCTGGGGGGGCAGGCTCCATGGGGCGGGCCCTCCACCCGGGCTCATAGGTACTGGCCCCACCTCCTGCCCGACATGGGGCCCACCCCCTGGGCCCCGCCCACGTCCACCTGCCCAACTGCCCTGACACACACAGACCTGGGCTTCCCTTCAGCAGCATCCACCAGCTCTGGGGCAGGAGAAGCCCCGCGGCCACAGCATCTGCATCCCACGAACCCATCGGTGGCCATCACCCGGGGCTGCCCACCCACAGCCAGCCTGAGCCTGCCCCACCTTCACGGCATCACCGGACAGACAGGGATCCCAGGGCTGAGGAGCCTCCGAGGAGGCCAGCATCTCCCACACTCAGCACAGTGCTGTGCCCTCCATCCCAGGAGCGAACTCAGGGACACTCAGGCCTCATGCTTGGGTGGGTGGTAGCCTCTGCCCGTGTGGTGGAGGACGGAGCGTCCCCTAGTGTGGGCGCCCCAGGGGCTCCAGCACTCCCTGTGCGGGGCAAGCCTCTCCCACTCACCTCCCGACTTTGCACACGCACGGGCCTCCGACCCTGTGCCCTCCCGATGACCCTGTGCCCTCCCGAGCATCGTCGCTGCATCTGTGCCAGGGACTGGCCCTCCTCAGGACGTCCAAGAGACCTGTGCCTTGTCCCCAAGCCGCAAGCACTGGGCGCCTGAGGATGAGGTGTCTTAGCACTGCCGGGGGCTTGACTCGGGGCCCCCCCAAACATGAGCTCCATGAGCTGGATGGATGCACAGATGATGGGTGAATGCAGGGCGAGGGGGCGGTGATAAGACCAGCCTGGCACCCTCAGCTGGCAAGTGGGGGAGCCGGGAATCACAGTGCCGTGTGAGTCACTCACCACAGGAGGGTATGGAGGCCCAGATGCTGCAAGCACTATCCTCCGCTCTCCCTGCGTGTCCCCCCGCCCCCCCGGACTCCAGCCCACGTGGCCCAAGGCTGCTGTCCTGGCTCCCTGTCCTAGGACGGGGGTGTGGGAGGAGCCAGAGCAGGCCCGACCCGTCAGGGCAGCGGGAACGTGGTTGGGCCACGTTTCCACACCTGGACCTGGCCGTGGCTTCCGCCCACAACCTTGCCCTTCAACTATCAGGCCAAGGCCTGACCCCCCAGCACTTGCCCCCCCACCTGGCTCCACCCACCCGTTCTCTGTGCAAGGAATGCCTTACGCCCCCTCCACCTGGCAAACTTCTACTCGTCCTTCAGAACCCTTTCCAGCCATCTGTGGAACAGTGTGGACCCCCCTCCCCGTACACTTCTGCGTGAGGGGCCTGAGCGAAGGCCACCTCCTCTTCCCACCTCTGGCTGGGCATCTCTGGGAACAGAAGCCAAGGAGGTCCCCTTGGGGCCACCACCAGACACAGCCTCCAGACTAGGGGTGGCAATGTCCTTGGGGCCGTAGGAGTAGACAACAGGGCCGCAAGGAGGCCAAGCACCACAGGCCAGGCCCTCTGGCCGGGAGGGAAGAGCCTGGGTCCTGGTCATGCTGCTGCCTGCCCACAGGAGGCAGAGAGGGGGCTGCCCAGGGACCCCTTCCCCAAATCTCCTTTCACCAGACCACCCTATCCAATAAACACAGAGTAACTGTTATATACAAAACAATTTAATTGAAATACCTGTATAAAAAATATGATCTCCAGACATCTCACTTTTGAACTGAAAGAAACCCCCATCCTCGATGCCTACGCACACCGGGATCACAGAAACACAGCTACTACCATAAATTAAAGGCTTGAGACTCTGTCCCCCCACCCCCCGGCCTCCAGAGCCAACAAGCAGACTGTACAAGGTCAATAATTTAAAACCCACCCCCACCCCGCTCTCCCAGAGGCATAGAGCCACAGGGGACAGAGTCTCCCTCGCCCCTTAAATTAGCCACTGTACAAGTCCATCTTCCGACAGACGCAGGTAGGATCAGGACCTGGGGTCCGCGCACACAGCCACGCTCCCCACTCCGGGGCCTGAAGAAGGCGGGGGCGCAGGCAGGAGGGGACCTCCCCAAATAAATTAAACAATAAATAGCCCTCCTCAGGGTCAGACCATAAATAGACGTGCGCGCACACGCACGCACACCCCGCCTGCAGGCGCGCGCTCAGGCAGCGAGCCTCGACATTGCATTGCTTGTGCACAGACCTTCCCGGACAAACACCGGCGGCGGGCGGGAGCAGGGGGTGGGCACAAGGGAGCCTGAGCCCCCGGTGACATGAGGCCACAGGACATGCTCCTGGTCCAACATGGTCCGACCGGGGAGGCGCTGAGGGCCGGGACGGCTGCCTCCCCGAGCAGCGCAGGACAGGGACAGTCTCAGGGTCGCGCACCTGCCCGGCCCAGGCCGGACCTCACGTCGACCCGAGCGTCTTTGGACAGACAGAGCTTGAGAAGACCAAGTCCCGTGAGAGCAGCGTTCGAAAAGGCACTCAAAGCAAAGAAAACAGCCCGGTGCCAAAGGCAAAGATCACCGGGAGTCAGAGGTCACTGCTTTTGCAAGAAACAGACAGCCCAGGCGGGGTCGCTCCCTCCGGCTCCCACAAGCCAGGCCCGGGCTCCTCCTCACAAGCTCTCACTGCTGGACGTGGTGCTGGCCCCGTCGTCCACATCCAGAGCGCAGAGCCGCAGGTCACAGCTCTCCGCAGGGCCCCCCTCGGCCCCCAGCATCCAGGGGTGCGCAGCGATCTGGTCCAGCGAGGGCCGCTCCGAGGGCCGCAGGGACAGACACCACTGAATGAGCTGCTGACACTCTGCGGAGAGGAGGGCGCGGGGTCAGCTCCTGGCTCCTAGGCCCCTGGGCTCCCAGCTCCAGCCCCCGCACCCACCACGCACCTGGGGAGACCCTCCTCCGGAAAAAAAGGCGGCCTCGGAGGATCTCCTCGTCCTGCTCGAAGGGGATGTCCCCACACACCATATCGTAGAGCAGCACGCCCAGAGACCACACCGTGGCCGAGCGCCCGTGGTAACGGTGGTAGCGGATCCACTCGGGGGGGCTGTACACCCGGGTGCCTGGGGGGACACGCGGGCGTTAGGGCGTCCGCCCTGGGGACCAGCGCCGAGCCCCCCGCGCTCTCGCTAGTCCCCTGGGAGGCCCGGGCCAGGGGCGGCAGCCGGTCTCCGGGCCTCGAGCAACCTGCTCGTCATCACCCTGGAAAAACCCGGCGGGCGCGGCCTCCCCAGCTGGCCCGCCCGGCCGGGGGAGGGGCGGGTCACATGAGCGAGGGCTCGGGTTTCACAACAAACAGATGTGAGCTGAGGATAGAGCAGGCGGGGGGCGGGGGGGGGGGGGCGGCGCCGCAGGGGCGGGCAGCCCCGGCTTCCCCGCGCTCCGCAATGCGGGGATTTCTGCGGCGCCGCCCCCGCTCGGCACGCACGCAGCGTCCGCCCCACGCAGGGGGAGGCCCGGGCACTCCCGGCGCACCCCCGCGCCGCGGTCCCCAGCGCCCCGCCCCCGCCCGCGGTCGCGCCCCAGCACGGCCGGCGGGGGCAGTCTCGAGCCGGCCCCTCGCCCCCACCCACCGCGAACCCGCTCCCCTCGCGCGCGGCCTCCAACAGCCACCAGCCCCTCCGGGCCTCCCCGCGGGCGTCCCCGCCGGCCAGCGGCGCGCTCACCGTCGAAGTCGGTGTACACCGTGTCCTTGAGCAGCGCGCCCGAGCCGAAGTCGATGAGTTTCAGCTCGCCCGAGCGCAGGTCCACCAGCAGGTTCTCGTCCTTGATGTCGCGGTGCACGACCCCGCAGCTGTGGCAGTGGCGCACGGCGGCCAGCACCTGAGCGAAGAAGCGGCGCGCCAGCGGCTCGTCCAGGGCGCCGCGCTCCGTGATGAAGTCGAAGAGGTCCTGGGCCGGCTCGGGCCGCTCGAGCACCAGCAGGAAGCCGTCGGGCCGCTCGAACCAGTCCAGCAGGCGGATGACGCCGCGCGCGCCGCCCGCCGCGCCCACCTTGCGCAGCAGCACCACCTCGAGGGGCACGGCCGCGCCGCCCTGGGGAGACACGGCGATCGGTCAGCGTGCCCCCAGCCGCGGCGGCCCGCCCCCGGCGCCCGCCCCCGGCGCCCGCACTTACGATGCTGCCCCACTCGGTCACCCGCTCCTTCACCACGTGCTTCACGGCCACCTGGGGAAGGGGGGGACACGGATGGTCAGGCCCGGCGGAGAAGCGACGACGCGCGCGGTGGGCGAGGAACCCGGGCCCGCCCGGTGGCCCGACTCACCGGGAGCCCGTCGGCGATGCGACTGCCCGCGTAGACGGTGCCGAAGCCGCCGCTGCCCAGCACGGCGCCCACCTGGTACACCTTCTCGAAGCTTTCCTTGTCCGCCTTGACTGTGGGGGTCGCGCACGGGAGGGGTTGGTGCGGCCCGGCGCGCCCCAGCCCCCGGCCCGGGTCCCCCGGCCGCGGCCCCCCGGCCCCTGCCTCCCGGCCCCGCGCGTACCTGGCTGCAGGATCTTCACCGGGAGGTGGTCCACGCCGCCCGGCCCGCAGAGGTGCGCCAGGGACCCGAACTTGGAGAGCAGCATCGCGGGCGGCAGCGGGGCGCGGGCCCGCGGCCCCCGGGCTCTCCGCCGCCTCTCACCCGGCCCGGCTCCCCGCGCGGCCGCAGACGCGAGAGGGCGGCCTCCCCGTGCCGCGCGGGGCCCCGAGCGTCGGACGGAGGCGGCCGCGGGGCGAGGCGGGAGCGCCGAGACCCGCTCGGGCGAGGCAGTCCGCGCGGCGCAGTGGCCCCGGGCCGAGCCGCGCGTGGACCCCGTGCACGCGCAGCACAGAGCCGCTCACACGCCCCAGCCGCCTCGCCCCGGGCTTTTGGGCCACGGCGTCCGGATCCCTCCGCGGGGGCGGGGCGAGCGGAATCCCGCCCCCTTCCGCCGCGATCCACGCAGCGGAGTCGCCCCCGGGGACGCGCGCGGGCGGCCGGGGCGACGGTCTGGCGGGGCCGGGCGCCGTCACCCCGGGTCACGAGGGCCGGTGGGCCCGGGGTGCGTGGCGAGCCGCCCGGAACTAGCTCGCTGTAGTAGAGCCGCGGAGGCGCACAGCGTGGCGCGGAGGTACACGTCAGCCCTCCCCCGCGCGCGCACACACACACCCACCGCGCACGCGCAGCTCCTGCGCGGGCGGTGGCCGAGGCGTGTGGGGCGGGGCCGTGGGAGCCAATGGTAGCCGGGGTTTCCAAAGGGCCCCGAAGCCCCAGCCAATGGCGGCGCCTGGGTGGGGCGGGGACTCGCAGGTCCCGCCCCAGGTTGTGCCGGGGAAGGTCACCGGCGGAACGCGCTCCCACCTCCGCCGTGCCCTGAGCGGGCGGCCAGACCGCTAGGGCTGTCGCGAGCGCGGGGTCCCGAACAGGGGCGGGAGTCCTGGAGACGAACCCCCTGTGCCTCGGGCCGTGCGAGTGGGTCCCCGGCCGTCCGTTCACCCTCGCGCGCAGCTGGTCCAGCGCGGGGAGGCGGTGCCGCCCCCTCGGGGACCCCGCTCAGCGTCCGCGCTCGGGAACTCGCAGCCCCTGGTGTGGGCTAAGTGCTGACCCAGCCCCGGGCGCCCCCTGCTCACCCCGAGGCCGCCGTTCTGACCGGGGCTTGACCTCAAGCCCGCAGCCCGAGGTCCCTGCCTGGCCACGCCTCCCCCCCTTGGAACCTTTGCCCTGCTGTCCCCATTACCTGGAGCGCCCGTTCCTGTTCTCCACCCCCCTGGCTGTTCTCCAGGCCCAGCGGCTGACCGCCTTTACTCGGGGCTCCACCTTGACCACCGCAACCAGGGCCAGAGCCGGCCCAGGTCCACTCGGACCTCCAGTGCTACACAGAACCACCTGTGTGATGTGGTCACCCCTTAGAGGTTCTGACCTCGGCCCAAGGTCACCAGCCTGAGCTGCTCAGGACTCGGTGTGCGCAGCGGTGTGAGCAGCTGTCTGCCAGCCACAGGGGCGTAGAAGAGCCTTCCCCGCCCGCCACGCGGGCTCCTTCCGCATCTCAGAGAGGGGTGAGGATTGGGGTAGCCTGGAGGCCACAGTGCTGGCACTGCAGGGGCTGTGTGTGGCCTTCGTGGCACCTGTGGGCCAGGCTGGCGTCTAACCTGGCAGCCACAGCCTTCAGGTGTGCCCCCCAAGCATGCACACTCAGCTGCCTCGGGGGCCTGGGCTGGGCTGCTGGCTCCCTCAGGGCACCCGGCCTCCCCCAAGCTCCCCCCTTCACTGCCATTCACTGCCACTCAGATCAGAAAGTGGGCCCTCCACTGGTCCGGCTCTTAGGTTCTTGCCTTACAGGAGCTCGATCCCCATCCTGCAGCATGGGCCTGTGAGGGCAGGATCCCCCACAGGGTCAGATCCAAGGTAGGAGGCAGGAGCCCACCCCTTTGGCTGAATCCACACAGCACCTGCAAGGGAGGAGGGGCTATTGTCCACTTGTGCGTCCCCCCCCCCCGCTCCCAGCCTCAGCCGGGCCAGTCTTCCCGGCTCCCAGCCATCGTTACTGTGCTACTGCCCCTGCCCACAGAGCTGGCTGTCAGGTGAGGCCCAGTGACTTGGCCACGGTCACAGCCCTCACCCTCAGCCCCTCCGGCCCCCACGCCCACTGCAGGAACCCTTGGCCTTCCCGGGGCTGTCCCGTCCCCAGCCCGTGCACCTGGCTTGCTGTCTCCCAGACACCCACTCGCGCCCCGGCCCCCAGCTGGGCCCTGAGAGCTCTGAGACTGGCCCAGCCTGCGAGCAGCCCTGCAGGGCTGCCCCTCCTCCAGCGCCCGCACACAGCTGCAGGCTGGTGAGGCGGGGAGGGCCTCCCCTCTGGCCTCCACTCGCCTCACCTCCGTGCGGCCTCTCCCCCGCTGGGGAGGGGAGCCAGCAGAACCGGGCCAGGGTTTTGCAACATTTCCCAAAGTCAGCCCAGGGTAGGGCCTGGGCTGGGCTGGGGGGAAAACCAGTGGGAGCCAGCGGGCAGTGGTGGCCTGCGTGAACTCTGGCCTCCCTGCCCAGGAGACCCCAGCCTGGCCTGACCCTCAGCCAAGGCCAGCCTGCCTTCGAGAGCTTGACACCCCACCTACTGAAGAGTGTTTATCCCCCAAGCCACTGAGGCCTGGCAACGGCTCACTGCGTTCTTGGCCAGGGAGATCCTGAAAAACCAAAGAAGCCCAGGTAGTGTCCAGGCCTAACCTGGAGAGACACCAGGTCCCCCGGAGGGCTGACCCAAGTGCAGCCGGACTGGCTTGGCGGTGGTGGCCATGGGCACGGTGAGCCTTCACGGCAGGAGTCCTCTCCTCACACAGCCCCTGGGATCGGGATTGGGCTGCCCCCAGGCTGCGCAGTGTGTACCGCACCAGCTCCCCGGACACTTAGCTGGGGCTTCACACCTCTTGGCCTTCCCTTCCTGCCCCCCCCCAATTCCTTACCCCGCAGGGCCTTCTCCTCTGACCCAAGCCGAGTAGCCTCAGCCCAGCCCCCCCCCACCAGTCAGACACGTCCCCACTCTGCCACTAACCCACGCCAGAACCACGGGCACGTCCCCAACCTCTCCTAGCCTGGGTCTCCCCGTCTCTGGGGACTCTGACCACCCTTGCGTGGGCCTGAGAGGAGCGTCCAGTGAGACGTGTGGGACGGGTTTTCCGTGGCCCACAGTAGGCCTCTCACAGCTGCTGTGCTGGGTACAAGCCCTGCGTGCCATCGAGAGGGTCCAGGATTTTCCTGGGACGGGGAGGCCCGGCACACCCTGGCAGCTCCACCCCACCAAGCTGAGACCCTCAAGGCCAAGGAGCCCAGGTGGATGGGACTGGGGAGGGCAGCCCCCCCGACGCCCCTCCTGCGTGCCCTGGAGGCCCGTCCACAGGGGCCAGGGTGGTAGTGCGGCCCTCTACGGGGACTCCACACCCTGCCTGCAGCCTCTCAGAATCTAGCCACGGAGAGTCCAACAGCCTCTGTGGATGGTGGCCAAGCTGGCCAGGCTCCTTGCTCCGGCTCTGCTCCAACCTCCAACATGCAGATGAGGAGGAGATGCAGAAGGGGCCACGAGGGGGATCCCCGAGGAGCCGGAAGCTGGCTGCGCCTCTGTTTGCCTCTGATTTGCATACAGCTCTCACTGGCCCCAGTCCAGGAGGTGTGCAGGCAGCGGGTCTCACGTGGGGGCCTCCTGGAGGAGGAGGCCCAGCTCAGCTGAGTCTCCAAGGCTGACCGAGAACAGAGGGAGGGTGAGGGCGGCTCTCAGCACCTGTGACTAACAGGGTGCAGGCTGGGGCAACAGCAGGGCCAAGGGTTGGACCAGAGTTGTGCTGTTTGGAGCAGGTCGGGAGGTCTCTCTAGAGGGGAAGGGGCTGGTGTCTTGAGTCCCGGAGGGAGGCCACCACTGCCTGCTGGGGCCCAGGGCCTACAGCAGTGATGACATTGTCTTGGGACAGTCCGTGGGCTGTGGCCCAGGCCACTCAGACCACACTCAGGCTATGGAGGAACGGCCCCCTGCAGATGGATCCCCAGGGTCTCCAGAGCACAGACTCCCGAGGGCCCGGTCCCAGCAAATGGGAGCTCAGGACACAGTATGGCCTTGGAGATGCACGTTTAGTGAGTACTTGGGGCATACCTGCCTGTGCTCAGCGCGCTCACGCACCCCCACGTCAGCCCCTGATGCTTTCACACTGCATCCCAGAGACGGCAGTGGCCCACGGGGCAGGGCAAGCCCAGGGGTGGTGGCAACCGGCTCAGCCAAACAGACACGAGAGCCACTGCCAGGATGTGAACTCTACCCAAGAACAGGTCAGTCTGGGAGAGACGCAGGCAGCGCCGGTGAGGACTTCAGGTCATGCTCGATCCAGCCCCTCCCTGCCAGCGCCTGGCAGCCGCACGGCGCGGAGCTGATAAGCCTGGGTGCCCCAAGCCCTGTGGGTCCTCCCCTTAATGGGCCAGAAAAAGACCCTTGGAGAGAGTCCCCCATGCCGGGCCCTGGGGGTAGAGTGCCAGTGGTTCCAAGGACAGCCTGGTGTGGCCCGAAGTTCTGCTCAAGCATGAAGGATGAGATTTGCGCTGGCCGAGGCCTGTGTGGTCCTCAGCACCCCAGGGACACAAGTTGGTGCCCAAGGCTCCCTGGACCCATGCTTCAGCCGGCCCGCTCCTTTCCATGCTGCTGGGGGTGGCCCCGGGCCTGTGGGGAGGGGCCGAGCATGGCAGCCACGGGCTGGAAGGGGGGCCGGGCAGGGCAGGCAAGTCTGCCAGGGGGCCCCAGGAGACCCCTCTGGCCTCTGTGCTGCTTCCCAGACTCCCCACACTGTGGCTTTTGCCAGAAGGACCCTGGTCTGGCTCCCGAAGTGTCTCCAGCGGCAGACGAGGGTGGCCGCTGAGAGATCGCAAGACGTGGCAGTGTCAGAGCGTGGAGGCTCCAGGGACCCAGGCTCAGGAAGTGGTGCCCACTGGGGAATGTCAGTATTCAGGGTCTGCTGGCCAAGCCTGTGAGGGAGGAAGGGGACAGTCCCTGGACTCAAGGACTTTCCTGCCTTCTCATGTTGTTCTGGGGGGTGGGGGAATTGAGAACAGCTAAAGGAAGAAGGGTTCGGGGCTGCTCTAGCTCTGGGCTGCCCGCCCCCCGACTGAGTCTAGGCTCCAGCACAGACTGGGGAAGGTCAGAGGGCCCACCGCAGGAGCGGCCCTGCCCTGTCCCCGTCCCTGCCCCAGGCGAGAGGTGGCCTGGACAGAGCATCCGGTTCGAAAGAAGTGGCTGGCTAGCTTCCACCTCAGGGCCGCTTCCCTGTTCCCAGAAAGTGACCGTGGAAGGGAGGGCCCTGGCCAGGAGTTGTCCCCAAATCCCCCTGCTCACTCCAGCTACCCCCCAGGTGGGGTCGTGTGCCACCGAGGGGCTTCCTGGGGCTGGGGGCAGCGCCATGGGTTCCCCAGGGCCCAGGAGCCTAGAGGGGCCCGAGCTGGCTGGGAGGCTATCCCAGAGCTCCCTAGTGGCTGGTCAGCCCGCATCCGGGCTCAGACAGCAGGGGTGAGCACTGTGGACAGGCGAGCACTCAGGCGTGCGTGCTTGCAGCCTGCTGGTCCGTGTGGACGAGGCAGGCCATGTCCGGACGGGCATGGTGGGCACTCTGGCAGGCAGGCTCTGGCCACCGCTTGTACCTCCCTCCCCCTCCTCCCAGGCCCCGGCCCAGCTGGTCAGGCACCATGGCTTGCAACCCTGGCCCTGTCCTCCCCCAGAGGCAGGGGTGAAGCCTTCCTCCCTGGTCTGGTCTGTACCTGGCTATGGCCAAGGGCTCAAGAATTGGGGTCTGGCCAAATGTCCACCATCCAGATGCGGAGCCTGAGGCCCAGGAGAGGCCATCCCCACCCATACCCCACGGCAGGGCAACTGAGTCACCGTGGGGTTGGGGGCAGAGCCTCACAGACCCTTGTGTGGACCCTCTGCCGGGATCCAGAGCCAGGTCCTCTGAGGGCAGCAGGGGCCAAGGCCCCTGTGAAGACCTGGAGGCAGAAGGCCGGGCGGGTGTAGGGATGGGCATGGCCGGGTCCTCAGGGGGGGCTGCAGGGACAG